GATGGGCCAAGGACAGTCTGAGGAGGTGGCATCTAAAATGGACTTGGATGTAAGGAGGCTCATCTTTCGAGGATGGGATCAGGGTGAGGAGGAGAGCATTTTAGACTGGAGCCCCTAACATGATGAGAAAGATTATCATGGCGTGCCTGGGTAACTGAAAAAAGACTAGTGTGGTATGGTGGAAGTGAGTGAAGGGCTGAACAGGTAGTGTGAAATAAGAGCAGGTTGAAGAGAGGGACAGGGTTTTGGGGCACATTTTCAGATTTTTAGTTTTTGTTCTAAAGTCCACGGAAAACTTAAAGCAGGGAGTGTTAGGTGTAGTGTTTTGTAAACACCAATTAGGTCAAGGTGGTTGATGTGCTAGATCTTCTACATCTCTGGTGATTTTATATCTGGTTTTTTATCAACTGCTGATAAAGGAGCATTCAGGTTTTCAGCTCTGATTATAGAAGGTGCCTATACATTTATTATTAGGTGCCTATACATTTATTATTGTTATCGTTTTTCATATGAAAGTCTCTACCTCTCGTGATATTTGTCTTGAAATTTATTTCACTGGATATTAGTATAGATAAAGCCACTCCAGTCTTCTTATGCTTACTTTACTATTTTCATGATATGTCTTTTCCCTTCTTTCCACTGTCAATGTGTGTTTTGTTTATAAAGTGTGTTTCTTTTGGGCATATTTAAAAATGTCTTATTTTTTCCCATCCTGGAAACTTCTGCTTTTTAGTGAAGTGATTTTAAATATTGTATTTATTCTTTGTGGGGTTTTCTGAGTTTCTTGAATCTGTAAACTTAAATATTTGACCAAATCTGGGGAAATTAGAGTCCGTTATTTCTTTCTTTTTTTTTTTGAGTTGGAGTCTCACTCTGTCACCCAGGCTAGAGTGCAGTGGCACACTTACAGCCACCCCAGCATTGACCTGCTGGGCTCCATGCAAGCCTTCCACCTCAGCCTTCCAAGTAACTGGAACTACAGGCGTGAGCTACTGTGGCCGGCTAATTTTTATTGTAGAGATGAGGTCTTGCCAAGTTGCCCAGGCCAGTCTCGAACCTGAAGGCTCAGGCAATCCACTCGTCTCAGCCTCCCAAAGTGCTTGGATTATAGGCTGAGCCACCTAGCCCAGTCTATTATTTCTTAAAGCATTATTTTTCTACCTCAGTCTTTCTTTTTCTCTTCTTCTAAGACTGTGATTATACATACGTTTAATCTTTGGATATTATCCTATATATCGGGGATACCCTGTTCAACATTTTTATTTCAATATTTTTTTTCTTTTCTTCAGATTTAATTTATATGTTTTGTTCTCAAATTCATTGACTTCTTCTTTTGGTATTTTTCGTCTGCTGTCATCTCCATTCATTAAATGTTTTATTTCAGATTCTATATTTTTTACTTCTGAAATTTCTGTTTCTTTTCAGAGATATTATTTTTCTACTTTCTATCTTTTTACTCATTGCATGAATCTTTTCTGTTAACATCCATTCTTATGTCCAGTTATAATAGCTGCTTTTCAATCCTTGTCTGATAATTCCAGTACCTAGATAATCTTGAATTAGTTTTCACGGATGCTCCTCCAAAAGGCATTGATTTTGTTTTTGTTGTTTTTTTTTGTTTGTTTTTTAATTTAAAACAGTTAACTTGGCTTACTCAAACTCTAAGCTCTGTCTTCTCTACAGTAGGTAACAGCTGAATCTTATTCAGTTCTTTAAGTCTTAACTGGGCTGCTTGGGGTCTTGTAGTCCTCATGAGTCATTATGGAATCTTCTGGGGATTTTGATAGAATTTATAAATAGAAGTTTGGAGCTCCCACTCTGTGTCCTTTATTTTCAGAAACCTCTTCTCTTACAGCTACTGTTTGATGCTACTTCTTCATTATTTGTGTACTTTTGGTCACCCTTCAATGCCTATGTGTAGTTATGTTTTATACATGTACAGAATCTGCAGCTGTTATCTCAGGTGGGTTTTCTTTTGGGAGCTAGTTGGTTCTTACCAGAAGCAGAGCCTGGGGTTTGTGATATATTTTGAATGTGAAGCAAACATGATTTATTGATGAATTGGTTGTAGGGTGTGGTGGTGGCAGTGGTGTGGGCAAAAGAATGAAATCAATGATTATTATTCGTTTTTTGGCTTAAGCAACTGGGGGAATGGTTTTACTTATTTTTATGATAAAGATTAGGGGAGGAGTCTGTCTGGTTGGGATACAAAGGATGTGGAAGTCAAGGGTTTTATTTAGACATGTTAAATTTGAGATGCTTTCTAGATATTCACCTGGAAATGTCAGGTAGTTAGGTATTTAGCATCTGGAGTTCAGGGGTGAAAGTTAGTCCCAGAGATCCAGATTTAGTTATCGGAATATAATTGATATTTTGAACTGGGGGGACTGATTCATTAAGTAAGGAGAACATAGCTAGTCAAAAAGGAGTGCCTCAGCACCATGCTCAGATGTAGTTGAGGATCTCAAAGTCAAAGAAAGGAAGAAGAACTACCAAAGAAGACTGAGAAAGAGGAGCCTGTGTGGTTATTTGGAGATCTGGAGAGGGTAGATCACAGAAGTCAGAGAAATATCAAAGAAGGCAGGAGTGAACAACTGAGTTGCATGCCACTGAGAAGTCAATGAAGTGAAGGACAAAAGAGAGCCCTGGATTGGGCAAAGCAGAGTCCATGAGTGAACTTACTAGACCATCTCAGTGGAATAATGATGGCACAATTGTGGGCAAGAAAGTGGAGATATGACAACAGTGAACCAAAAGTGCTTGCTCTTAGGGCCCAGGTTCTTAAGTCTACAATTTCAGCTGTGAGCAGTGTATCCACCAAAGCAGAAAGGGACTGGCAATCAGTTTATTGTTGATGTGCCCATTCTGTGGTAGGTACTATCACCTTGAACTTGGATCTCTCCCTGCTCAGGTTACCTCCTGTATGACTAAACTGCTGGAATCAGAGATGGCATTTGCTGCATATACTACAATAAGGTCATCCTGTTCAGAGCTAATTGATAGTTGGCTGCATGTTCTGGAATCAGTGGTATCACTGACAATAGAAATGAATTCTGAATTTAGTCACAGATACTTACTAGACTTTGTCTAGTAAGACTTATCTCTTCATAAGGCTCAGGGCTCTTAGTAAAGACAGTATTGTGGTTCAGATCATTTGCCCAAGAAACTAGAATTGTCTATATAGTAAGAATTTGAGAGTTCTCGAAAACTTCCCTAGAATGATCATTTGTTTAACCAAATTTCCGTTGCTTTATGGCCTCCTGGAACGTAGAGTTACGTATCATTACTCTTGTTTTCAAGGATAATAGTTCCACGAAGTCTTATTTTTCCTTGAGGTTGTTTTTATTTCAAAGCAGAAACTTTTGCCTTTGTTTTAGTAAACAGTCTACCTTTCTATCCTAGCATCCTTGCATGAATCTTTGGATCTGCCTAAAACAAAACACAGCAAAAGGAATCAACTAAGCCAAAGATCTTTCATTTATTTTCTGACTCTACTTTGGATTTTGGTGTCTGTTGTCTTACTTGACAGCTGCCATAATTTGCATCTAACATGATGTTTGAACTCTTTAGACGTAGTCTCCTTAATTGACATAGGATGCCTTGGTCCTTTGGCTGTGCCAACATTGCTGGTTTGATTCTTTAAGACAGTCTTTTTCTCTTGGAATGGGATATCAGCCAACCCCAGTCTATCTGCCTTTATATCAGGTTTGATTGTTCCAAGAAGACTTCTTTCTAAGCCCTGGCAGGAACAGAACTGTTAATTTTAGGAATCACAATGTAACACTGATGATCTTTTAGGATAACTAAGGTGTTCCCAGTAATTTCTTAGTGTGTGAACCAACTAACTCTCACACGACTCATATGGGACCTCAGTGCTTCACATACCTGCCCCTTTCTCCCTGCCCCCCACTGTGCTCTCATCTTTAAATTCTCATAGGTTCTACTGGTTTTGATTTCAAAACTGTCAAACCCAGGCTATAAAAATGAAAACATAACTTTTATTTCTGTTCAGTTTGTACTCTCTCCCCCTGGAGTAGTTAGTTCCCTCTTTTATCATACCAGAGTAAAGAGCACCAGGTATTATGAAAATCAATATAGTAAGTGGCTAACTGTTGGAAACTTTTTTCCAAAAGTAAGTCATGTATGGTAATCAGTCATTACAGTGAAGATCTTTGTGACAGTCTTCCTCTGAGCTTCATATTTCGTTTATGTTTTTGTTCTCTTCCTATCTTTTGGATTAAAAGTCTTTTTGTAAATAAATAGGAACAATTCTCTGATCCATGACCCTCTGTTACCAGATTAGAGCAATGGGGACCATTTCCGCATAAAATAAATAGTTCTAATACACATTTTATTTTAATCATTCTTAACACAGGCCAGGTTGACTTTTCCTAAGTACAGAAAAATATACTCTTTGAAGTCACCTTTCTGTTAATACTTTTATAGTGTAGTAAGGTTCCAATCTGAAAAGTCAATGCTTTCATCATTGGCCTAACTTCTTTCTAAAAATGTATTTGCTTTAGTTGATTGTTAAAAATCTCTTTGCAGTAATTCTGGCAATATTTTTTTCCTCCTGTTAGTTTTGGAACACTGTAGTTGAGTGAGAACAATCCCTATCATAACTCTTAGAACTGAATTACAGCCAAATTGAAATTATTTGTGCTTTGGAGAAGAGAATTGGCAGGGACTCACGGTCCATGGCTCATGTATTGTAAGATAATTGTAACCATGACACTGTTTGTTTCCTAATGTTATGTTTCTACATTTAACTGATGAGATTCATCATAGGGAAAAAATCCATTTGTATGTTTCTAGTTGAATTTAAGTTATTCCAATTTTATTATTACAACATTAGAAGTAGTTGTTTCCTGTGGAATAGCCGGTTCAGTAATTTGCTTTATTTCATGTGGAAGTGGTTTTTGCCAGGGCTAGTGATATTTTTTAATAAGGTAAGTTTCTAGGAAGACATAATCTAACAATGATAACTTTTCAACATCTAGATAAAAGAATACGAAAAACTTGATAATGAGGAAGATCGCCTTTGTAGAAGCCGACAGATTTATGATGCCTATATCATGAAGGAGCTTCTTTCTTGTTCACATGTAAGTATTTCCTTTTGCTCTATGATTTTAGTACTGATAAATATGAGACTGCATTCAGTGTTTTCACAATGAAAGTAAAATAATAGATGTTTAAAAATGCGGGCACATGCCTGTAGTCCTAGCAACTTGGAAGACTGAGGTGGGCGGATCCCTTGAATCCAGGAAGTTGAGGCTGCAATGAGTTATGATCGTGCCACTGCACTCCAGGCGGAGTGACAGAGCAAGACTCTGACTCTAAAATAATAATAATTTCAAAATATGATAAAATAAAAATGCATATCCAGAATGGAACCCATTTCTTCTGTTTTGTGATTTTTTTTTCCTGTTCATATTGACGCAATATCTATTGCTTTGTACATGCTTAGTATATTTTCAAAAGTTGATACTTTCATTGTAAAAATTGATGAAATAAAATAGTTAATTTGTATCAACTGAAGAAAAGGTTAGTCTTAACTGAAGACATTCTAAAGGAAATTAAGCTTTAATATTTTTAATTTTGTATGCTTTGGCAATTTGGGTAATCAAATATTGATGAATATAAATCATACATGTTTTTCTGAGTTAATAAGAAGGATTATAATTATTCTGTTACTTTTCATTAATAGTTAAATAATGGTTGAAATATTTTTTTCTTATAAATCAGATGAACGATCTAATTTGGCCATTAGGATAAACTAGATTCCAAGAAAATTATCCCACCAGGAGTAAGTGAAGTAATTTTTAATGAAAATTTACCATATCTCTACAGCAAAACTCTTTTCCAAAGGAGTGGCTTCAACAGCCCTGGCAGTACAGTAGCCACTAGCCACAGGTGGCTATCTGCATTTAAGTTTCAACTAATTAGAATCAAATGGGGTTATACATATAATTCCTCAGTGCCTCACAAGCCACCTATCAAGTGCTCAGTAGTCACATGTGGCCAGTGGCTTCTGCATCAAATGGCACAGATACACATCATGACCATCATTGCAGAAAGTCCAATGGGATGGCACTGGCCATGGTGATGACAAGTCAGTGCATCTGTATGTGTTGTGTTGTTTAGAATTCTTGCTGACACTTGAATAACTGTGACTAAAGATGACATCTCTTGTAACGTGCACTGCTTTATTGTCCTTTGGACTCACTTCACTTGTAGCCGGAAGAATTTCTGAGCTAGAGCTAGTGGGTGCTGCTGCATGCCCTGCTACCTCACTGGAGAATGAGCAAGCCCTTGGAGAATGCCAGATGTTCAGTGGGAAAGCCTTTGTAGCCTGGTTTTTATGTAGAGAGATGTTTAAAAATTTAAAAATGCAAGCATGTGCCTGTAGTCCTAGCAACTTGGGAGACTGAAGTGGGAAGATCCCTTGAGGTAAGATCTTTTCCCAGCAGTGTAGAGGGTTTGTAGCCATATGATGTGATATGTAAGACTTTCTTATTGTGCATTGTTAAGACACAATTTGAAGTTTTGAGGGGAAGATACAGTGTGGAGGTTTTTTTCAATGAAGTTTCACTCTTTTTGCCCCAGATCCCCCCTGCTGTGGTTACAGCCAGACTTTCCTTAACCTCAAGGCTTTTACCACTCTGACTTGGCTCTGTAATCTTGGCACTAATTCTTAGGTGTGTTTTTGTGTCTTCATTTTTTTCTTATATAGTAGACATTTTACATTTTAAAGCCCCGTTATCAGCTTATTGAGAGATGTATGCATTTACCCAGGTGATAATAGGATTCTTTACATTTTATTTTTACAGTGATCATGAACTTAGTGGAATGGGAAATATCAGTCAGGTCTAAGTGGAATTGGAAATGTCTAAGGACTATGGATGCCCAGAGGAATAAGCATTTGCTTGGACTGCCTATAAATAGTCAACAAATTTTTAATGAATGCCTGCTAAATATAATCACCATAGGTTGCTGTTTAGTAATTGTTGTGTTAAATTATCTTTTGAAATATTGTGTAACATACACAGGTTTGTTACATTTTATTATTAAAAATATATTATTTTTGACTTTTGAAAGCCATTCTCAAAGCAAGCTGTGGAACATGTACAAAGTCATCTATCTAAGAAACAAGTGACATCAACTCTTTTTCAGGTAAGATAAAATTATTTGAAAATAAATGTATCTAATTTGCTTAACAGTTGGTCTTGGTGACATTATTTTTGCATGTGCAAATATGCTAGGGAAATAGGTAAGACTGTATTCTAATCTGGAGGTTTAGCTGGAACAATTAAAGCTTAATATTGCTTGTTTTCTCGTTGTGATGTGTTCTTCTGCCAACATGCTTCATAAAACCTTTTCTGGAAAAAAAAAAAGCCACTAGATGCGGGGGGCCAGCCCCTGCAAGTTTTGGGGAGTCTCTTGGAAGATGTGGTGGCATCGGCGAATCTGTAGGGATAGATATTAAAAGAAAGAAAGAGAAGGCGAAAGAAAGGAAGTGGACAACTGTTCAATGAAATGAGCAGAAGCCGTTTATTGAAAGTTACAGCAGGTATTTATCCCCAAATTTTACACAGGCAGTCTCACAAGTCTTTCACGTGAACACAAAGCCAGGTGCAGAGGGGGGCATCCCCCACCCACCAGATGCTTAGGTGTGAGGAGGGACAAACCTCAAGATTGTCTTATTGTTCCCTTTGTTAGTTAATGTTTTTCAAAAGCAGTGTAACAATCCTTACTAGCCTAATGATGCTCTGATAATCAATAACTTCTAGAGCTCACACAAAACCCATGATGACTATTTTAAACTTTACTTCTTACACAATGCTATGGAAGCTCTTAATTATAGCTTAAGCCAATTTCCTAAAGAATGTGGCCCAGTCCAAAGATCATACTGGGCCCTACAGGATGTGGCCCAGTCCAAGGTTCACGGTGGGCCACCTTTTGGAACAATAAACTACAATCTCTTAACAAAATGGCTATTTCACAGTCCTATATATTTATCCTAATTTCTATGAAAGTTTTCCAATTCTTAATTCTAATATATAAAGCTGATTAGCAGCAGCAAAGCTTCTAAAACCTAAATATAAACTGTAAATGTACTAAGGCCAAAACTACGATAGTAGAAAATGGAGACAATGAAATTTCTAAAGTTAACTATATTCTTATTAAACCTAAAAATATCATGATTGATTATGCTTGAACTAACATGATTCCTTGATGTAGTATGACCAATTTTACAATACCTTCTATGAATAAAATAAATTCAATTTCTATAATAGGTAGAAAAAAGACCTTACATTAACTGTAGCTAAAGCCGGCCCAAAAGAATGCAGCCCAGTCCAAAGTACGTGCTGGGCTCTCAGGAATGTGGCCCAGCCCAAACTCTGTGCTGGGTCACTCTTGATAATCATCTATACCATTGAAAAGCTGAAAACAGCTCTCCATAAGTATATACTAATTCTACAAATATTCTTTTAAATCTTATAAAGAAGCTTGTACCATAAAAAAGGCTCCCAAATGTGACCTGAATTTGAATTATATCTAATACCTAAGCCGAAACCGCAGTTTACGGGAAACAGGAACAATGGGTTTCTAGAGTGAGCCATGCCTGTCACAGTCACAGAGCCTTCAGCTTAGGCCAGCAGAGTTCCTTTAGGTTGTTTGTGCTGCATGGCAAAAGGGGGAGGAAAATGGGGTCTACGGCTCCCGAAAACGTCCTAGCGGTCTCGAGGTCCACGGCCCTCCCTGATCCCTAACGCTCAGTGGGCCTCCGTGGCCGGCTCCCAACAACTAGAGCTTTCTAGTAACATTTTATTCTGCAAATCAATCAAGATAAGACATCAGAGAAGGAAGTTTTTTGTTTTTTTTCCCCGCCATTTGATATTCTGGCACCTGTGATGAGCAAGGACTTTACAAGATTTATTTTGTAGTGCCAGGGCCTTGATATTTGCAGTGATTATCCTCTGGATAAAATAATATTTATTTTCAAGAATCAAGAGTGAGTGTTTGGATGACCTGTGAGTCACGACTGAGAAACTGTTTGACCTTGGCTACTCATATCTTGAACACAATACAGTCATATAGACGTCAATGACAAGACAAATTCACAACTAAGAGGCATTGTTAAAGAATACTGAAGAATAGTATTTGCTCTTCTTTAGATTTAATGGTTTTTCCTCCTCCCCAAAGCCTTTTCCGGCTTGTATTTCCTATTGTGGTGGCAGTGATTTCGAGGACAGTCAGATTCTCAAATGAATAATGTACTTTTTCTGTTTCTATGTAATGATTATCATAAATTAAAATGATCAATTTATCCCTTTCTTGGATTTCCAGCTATTTAAAGTGAAATAAGTTGACTTTTGGCATTTTATGATAGTATTCATTTATGCAAAATGAATTTGATTATTCTGCAGAGCAAATACTAACTTGGCTCATAGAGCATTTGGATAGTAGCAGGTTGGGTGTTGTCTTTCAGCCACAATAATTAGGTGGGCTTTTCATAAAATGTCAGACTTGTCTGTGTAGTCTAGTTGTTTGTAAACCTGGACTCTGAATTCATTGACTTGACCTGGGTTTAAATCTCAGGGCCATAGATGGGGGACCCTGGGCAAGCTTCTGTACCTTCCTGACCTCAGTTTTGTCATCTGTGAAGTGGAAGCAACAGTGAACTGACCCTCAAGGGAGGTCTTGAGGAGGCAGTGACAAAGTTACATAAGGGTGGCTTTGCCCACAGCCTGCTTATCACAATGTCCCACAAATAAGTGGTAGCTTTTATCACATATTTTACAGTGAAAAAGTACAGTGTGGGTATCTGTTTTGTGTTGTCTCCATGATATCTTAGTCACAGAATTTCAGTTTTCACCTCACTTTGCTGTGGCATATACACAGCATTATAGTCAGTTATTACTGTTAGCATCGCTATACCTGAGTACATGAGTTTTAACTTGGATTTTGTCTTTTTCTATAACATAAATAACATTGGAAAAAAATGTTCCAGTGGAGATATAAAGACCACTGAGATTTTTTTCATGCCTTCAAGGAACATTCATTTAGGAGCTATTTCTTCAGTATATCTTTTAAAAACATTTTCCTGATTTGTTTTGTTCATTAAAAAAGAATGAGCCGGGCTCGGTGGCTCAGCCTGTAATCCCGCGCCTTTGGGAGGCTGAGGTGAGTGGATTGCCAGAGCTCGTGGGTGTGAGACCCGCCTGGGCAGGCGAGACCTCATCTCTACAATAAAATCAAAAAATTAGCAGGGCGTAGTAATGCGCGCTTGTAATTCCGGCTACTCGGAAGGCTGAGGCGGAAGGATTGCCAGAGCCCAGCAGGTCAAGGCTGCGGTGGCCGGGAGCGGCCGCTGCACTCCAGTCTGGGTGACAGAGTGAGACTCCAACTCAAAACAAACAAACAAAAAAAAAGAATGAAACTAGTATTCTGGTGAAATTGATATAGAATGAGTGGTATTCTTATTTAGGGTAAAGGAAATATTAAGTTCATTAAAATAAGGGATGCATTAGTATAATTCAAGGTAACGTGCCATCAGAGCATCGTGATTGAAGTATAAATAAAAGTTATATGTTTGGATGAGCTTTTTTTAATCAATATTTTTTATTATGGTTTTGTGGGGTACAGTTAAAGGTTAGGTATACAATTACGTTTCATTCAGGCACCCTGTTGATAAGAGGTGTTTCCCCATCCCCAGATAGATATTTGCTACTGTTAATCCCATCCCCTTCCCCTGCCCATAGTTTCCCAGTACTGTCAGTCATTTTCTTATAGTATTACATTGGATGTTCAAGGTCCATTATATGAGTGAGAACATGTGATACTCGGATCTTTGTTTCTGTGAGAGGTCACTCAGTATTATAGACTCTAGTTCCATCCAGGTTGCTGCGAAATTCATGATTTTGTTCTTTTTTATGGCTGCGTAGTATTCCATCGTGTATATGTACCACATTTTTTTAATCCAGTCCTCTTTTGATGGGCAGCATGGTTGTTTCCAGGTTCTTGCTATTGTGAACAATGGA